CCCACTTCCTCTGCCACTCCGCCAGCCTCCTCAACAAATCGGCCCACTCATCCTCCGTACGCACGTTCCGCAGCCACTCGTCCTCTTCACCAAGACTCCGCACACGCTGCCAGCCGCGGTAGATCAGCGGGCCCTCCTGCCTGCCCATCCGGCGCCACTGCTCGACATACTTCTGCCCGTCATCCGGGAGTGCCCCGTGCTTCTTCAGGTACTCCACGAGGTCATCCTGATATGTCTGCGCCTCGTTGTCATTCTGCAGACGATGCCCAACGAAGTACGGGTCGAAGCCCTGCGCGCGGAGGGCCTCCTCGCGCGCGACCAGCTCTGCTAGCATCTCTTCACGTGGAGGCAGGAGAGACTCGTTCGCGAACGCGTGCGCGATGAACATGCCCTGCGCATAGTCTGACGGACAGTTGGCGATGAGCACAGGGAGCCCGATGAAGGTAAGCGCCGTAGGTGGGACTGCCGGCGCGAGGCTGAATATGTGCCGGTACAGAGGGAAGATGTAACGCAGGTTGGTGACGGGATACTGCGCGGTAGTCGAGGTCTCCCGCGTATTTGGGTTCGTGACCAATGTCGAAGCATGCGGCGCGGTGAGGAACGGAATGCGGAACTCGTAACCCGTTGCAAGAATCACTGTGTCAACCTCTTCGACTACTGTGCCGTCAATGAAGACGATGGTGTCCGAGGTGAAGTACGCGATCTCTGGTTTCTCGATGACGTCCGCGCCGGGAGTGGTGGTTTTGTTTTCCCTGACAGATTGATAGACCTATCGGTGCCACGTGTTGAACTCACTTGGCGATGGGACGCTCGCAAAGACACACTCACCACCCTGGCTAACGGGCCCACTTGCAGAGCGATATCCCGTCCGCTTGCCCCCGTCCCGACAAGGACGACGCTCTGGTTCGCATAATCCTTCGGGTGGCGGTAGTATATCGAGTGCACGATCTGCCGCTTCGGAGAGCCAGCGCGCGAATTGGCTAACCAGTCGTCCGTGCCATTCCACGTCGGTATGTGCGGGTAGTGGTTGTGTCCAGTGGCGACGACGAGATGATCGAAGGTCCGTTTGAGCACGACCTCCTCGCCCGAGTCCGCATCCGGCGAGGGCGAGTGAACCTCTACGTGCCAGTCGCCAAAATCGTCATGTCCGTGCCACTGTGTTGAGACAACGGTATGGTTCAGCCTGATATGCGGCGTCAAGTCGAACCGTTTTGCGAAGTCCTCATGGTATTGTAGGACGGCCTTCCACGATGGGAACAGCGACGTTCCCGGCGGAAAGGGAACATGAGGATAGGTCATAGTGGGATTTGCTGTATTGGTAATGAGAAGAGGATAGACTGGCGACTCTGGAAGCTCTGGAGGGTCGGGTTCAGGCCCTGGGGCGTCAGCGAGCCACAATCCACCGACGTCACGATGCTGCTCGTAGAGCACCACTTCCCAGTTCGCATTAATATCCGACGCGACATCCAAGATCGTCTTGAGCGCTGCTAGACCACCACTGCCTGCTCCCACGATGGCGATTGACTTTGTCGCGCCGCTCGGGGCGTGCATGAACTGTTGGTGATTGAGGTCGTGGACAGAGACCAGAGATGGGAATTGAGGCACATCCCACAGTCGTAGGCGTAGCAGCGATGACGCTGCATGCACAGCGTACAGCAAGGTCGACAGCATGATGGTAGAGGGTGCAGAGAGCAGCGGCCATAAACAAGCACCGGAATTGAGTGTTTGTAGACACGCTCGGCACAGCGAAGCTCATGCCGTGCACGAATGAGGACAATCAGTGCTTCCGGATCACGCTGATGAGAAGTTGTATTGCGTAAAAGAGGCGAAGAGCTTCTATTCTGAGATGAATCGCTCCTGTGTGCCAAGATGTGTTGATAGCTGAGTGGATTCCTTGTCGTGGCACAGAATACTGGATATCCTCACCTGCAAGCTCCATCTATTGTCAAGACGGACAACCGAACATGACTGAGTCATTTCTGGCTTTCACATACCGGAGGCAAAACGTTCCTGCGTGTACGCTTCGCACGCAACCGTAGACGCTGCAGCAGTCAAAGGATCCTCGAACGTCGCAAACTTGACTGCTTGCGCGTAATCACTTGCGAGCACGCAATAGGTCTCGGTCTGCTGACAGTCATAGCGTCTATCTCATAAACATCCCACGCTCATCTTGCTGGATAGCGAGCAAGATTGCCACAAGTGTCCACTGTCGGTGCGTCGGCCACGGAGCGGGTAGAATTCACCGAATTAGCGCTCGTCTGGGTTGCGGAAACAGTGGCCGAGCCGCAAGCGGCTCGTCACAGATGCGATCCTACCCAGCCGACACCAGATTACGGCAGGTCTGAGGGCGGCGGCTAACGTTCAAATAAACATGTATCCCTCTCACAATTATGGATCTGGTTCATGCAGGGATATATAGGTTCTGCTTAGGACACTCGCGTCATCCATCACAACAGTGAGTCAATCCCGCAAGGACCCCCAGGTTCACAATGACGCACTAGCGTTATTAGTGACTGTCAGTCCGACATCTATGAAATAGTATGGATTGCTACTACGCAAAATGCAGGCGTTGCTATGAGCACTGGCATTTAGGGGACAATGAATCTCTTCCAACGTCTGGATAATCACAATGTAGCCTCCAGTGCCGACTGCAACATCACAGAACATGAGGGCAATCCTATTCAACCACGATGGCAATGAGAAAATGGATATTTAGTGATTGACAAAACAGTGGCTGACGAGAAACCACTGCATTGCCTCGCCTACGACCGCTCGACAGCAGCTCTGCTAAAGCTCGATCGGTGTACTAGAGTCGATAGGTGCCCCGAGCGTGTCATACATCGTTGACGGAGATAATAGGGAGTTTATGAGACGCTCGCGGATGAATGGCCTGTGCGAACGCCTTTTTTCGTATACATCTGCCCATCGACAACGAATCTCAGTGACGACATGCAAGCAAGGCATATAAGATATGTACTTCTAGCTCCTTGCACTATGATTCAAATCCCTTCCACTCGTCAAACTGTGCGGTGGGGTTATCCTCTTGCTTTGCTCGTCGGCCTCGTTTTTTCGTACCAATTAAATCACTTCCTGCTTCAATTCTCTTCAAGCCGACCATTGTTTCATTATCTGGGCATTCCCAATCAAAGGGGAAAGCGCGGAATTTTGAGATATACGTACATTCGCCAGCAAGCAGCTGATCAGCTATCGGGACGCTGCCCGACGTGATATACCGCGTCGAGATACCCCGAGCAACTAGAGGCTGCGCCAGGAGGCCCTTCAGCTCTGCCTTCATGGCGCTGACCTTTGTTGATATGGACCTTCGCTTCTGTTTCGACGGCGCACCTCGTTGTTCATTTTCAATAGAACTGGAAACCAAACTTGTCAGCTGAAGGTGCATGAGAATCCGACAATCGATGCATACCTTTCCATATCAGAGTCTAGATCGATCTCCATAGCCTCCGCAGCTTCTCTCAGCCAATTCTTGTCATGCTTCTCCTTCTTCTCCTTATGCTGCGAAATGTCAATCTGACGAGCGAGCTGCACACGCGCTTTGAGCTTGTCCAACATGTATAGTTCTACGGGCATCTCCTGCACCTCATCCACCTCTACGCCAGTGGATCGCGACTCTCAGTACCAGTATTAAATGAGCACAGATTGAGACACACATACGTCTTCCCAAACTTCCAAATAGTGCCTTTACGACTCGCCGCTCGTCCGGGGCGCACATGAGCAAACTGAAGCCGCGACGCATGGCACGCGCTGTTCGTCCATTCCGATGCACGTACGCATCTGCCGTACGTGGCACTTGATAGTGAATGACGTGGTCAACCGCAGGGATATCCAGTCCACGCGCTGCCACATCCGTAGCAAGTAACACCGCTCGCGGGTTCGACTTGAATCTGTGACGAGGCGGGGAGAAGATTAGCCACGTAGGTAGGTGCTGCATAATTAGGAGAGGCCGATACTGACCGGTCGAGATTCTTGAGTCGCTGCCGTTGCTCAAGCTGCGAGTGAAGAGCGTACGCAGGAATCTGAAGCAACTCCATGATGGGTAGCAGTCGACGAATACCATCGATCGATGAGAGGAAGACTAGAGTGCGTCCGGGGTACCGCAGTAAAACGTAGTACAGATAGGCATCCTGGATTGATTACGTGTCAAATTCGATGTACACATGTCGAATCTCTTCACTCACCTTATCATTTGTGAGGCATTCCACCCTGCTCTCTTTCAAAGTCGCCACCACGCCGCCTGCCGGACTGATATCAATCACTGCAGGCTCGGAATCGCGAAAATCGAGTTTCAGTAGTAAGTCATCTGGACGTAGGAATAATCGTGTTGGTCAGACTATAATGCTGGATCGTAAGGCTATCAAACATCCTCCTCACCAAGTGCCGAACCTCCTTTCTTGGCTTTCCACGATCGGCCACGTCGCTTGAGGTTACGCTGCAGATCCTTACTAAGTGTAGCTGAGAAGACAAATGTCTGCATCTCTCCTGCTTTCACGCCTTCCTTGCTTTCCTCTTCCTCTTCTGCTACCAACGGAGGTTCCGCTTCAAATTCGGACTCTACCGCATCTTCCCTATTAGGCGGATCAATAACATTGTCTCGACACGTCTGAGCTTCGAACGCACTTTGCCTGACGCAGAGTCAGCCTAAGAATGTTATCCATCTCGGCGAAATGGCCAGTCTCGATCATTCTGTCGGCTTCATCTAGTACAAGAAAGCGCAAATGCTCAATCTGGCCCGCAAGTTCATCATCCTGAAAAGGTGCGATCAACAGCATGAGAATGCATTCCGAGAAGACGATAGATGGAGAAATGTTGCCAAGTCTGACATACCTCCTGTATAATGTCCCACAGTCGACCTGGGGTCGCGACAAGCACATCGGCACCGCGTGAGAGAATTCGCCGTTGTTTCTGAAGGGACATGCCGCCGACGACGGCCGCGACGCTGACAAGCGGCCTACCATTCAGCTTGGGGGCTGACGGTGCGCTAGTCTTCTCTTTCTCTTTCCCTTTCCCTTTTACCTTGGAATACTTCTCAGAAGCAATTACATCTTTTGTCTGTGGATTATCGTTGTCGACAGCAGTTCCAAAAGGTAAACTGGCAGCGCTCAAGCACGCATTCAGATGGGAGGAGACCTGCAATGCTAATTCGCGGGTTGGTGCGAGGATCAGAGCACGAACTGGCCTACGTTGCTTGGAAGTCGGTTCATGCGAAGAAGCGTGCGCCAGGAGATGGTGCAGAATGGGCAGTCCATATGCAAGGGTCTTGCCGGAACCCTGAACGAAAACATGAGACCCACAGGTATTTCTCGTTTATTTAGCACTCAACATACCGTTTCTGCCACACCTACTATATCTTTGCCTTTCATGGCAAGCGGAAGTGTTTCCGATTGTATGGGTGTGGGATCAGTGAAGCGTTGTGCATAGAGAGCACGCCGAAGTTGAGGATGTAACGTGAAGCGATGCCATTTTGGAAGCATCTTCGTTGCTGTTTCACTAAAATTATGTACACTCATTGAATTATGAACCGATGCTCTCACAATCGAAGGGTGTATCCTTCTCGGATTGAGATGGGTCTGCGACCGCTTCCTCTGCAGGTGCAGAAGACGATCCTGCGACAGCTTGATCTTGTTCAATACCACCCAAGGCCTGCTGGTCGTCTTCATCTTCTATCTCATCAGGAGAGGCTTTCTGTCCCAACATCTACGGACAGTTCTAGACGCACTGCTACGAAGGATGTCCTTGCATGACTCACATTGAATCGGACCACTTTACCCGCATCCGTCTCCTCGTATACTACCTCTACATTGTCCACCTCCTCCAATTCCAAAAGCCCATCAAACGCATCCCCGAGGCCAACCTCTCGCGGACGAGATGAAGCCTTCCAAGGGAGTTGGTCTGTAGTAAGATTGTCTAATTTTGCCCTTTTGCGAGACAACAGAGGCGTTGCGCTTAGTTTTCGTTTCGCAGAACCCTTTTGTGAGGTTGCAGCCATCTAAAAGAATGAATTAGGAATCGAAAAACAGGATGTCGATAGACGCACTTAAGTCTTGCTGCTTGCACTACTGAGCGCTCCTTTCGAGCGCTTAGTGAAAACCCGTGACGATCACGTGATACGCGAATCGCAACTCGCCGTTTGACGCGTTCTGGAGGTCGCGGCGCTTCTGACTTCTGCGGCTTGGTCGACTGACTGAACAAGATGATTCGTGACATTTGTTTGACCTCCAGTGGTCCTTTAATGAACGTTCTGTCGCCAGCTTCCATGGTGCGTCGCCAGCGCACGAAACATCCGCAGGTGGTTTCCCTCGAGCCGTGGGACGTGAGATCGGAATCGCAGTGCCTTTCGCGTGGGTGTCAGACCCATTTCTTGACAGTGAGGGTCTCTAGTACTCGTTCTTGTTGCAGAGAAGTCTACTTAGGCTTTGACATGTCTTAGCATCCGAAAGCACTGGATTCGAGCCTGATGGAAACCTGTTCATCCCGCGAGCGTCGCGCGGATCAGACAGTAACATCAATGTGGTCTGGAAGCACCCAGTGCCCTTATATAGCTGCATCGTTCACGCCGCCGTGCCTCAGCGTGTCTACAAGCGGGCGTTCATTCGCGAACGCTCAGGTTCCTCAGTCTTACCACCATGTTGTCGATTTTGCTGTATGCTGTGCAGGCAGCGTCGTCGCTACTACGCCTGGGACTGTGGAACGTGCCTCAGTTCCCGCCTTCGGCTTCTGTCCACGACCTCGAGCACCAACAGTTCATGAACATCCAGAGGGACGCTACTAAGTCTATCGCCATCGTGGGAGCAGGCAGTGGGGGCCTCGCAGCGCTCAAGACGATCTTGGATGTCGCTTCGAATATCAATGCGAACTGGGAGGTAGTCCTCTTCGAGCAGCATCGCAACGTCGGTGGACTGTGGCTCGCTGACCCTCCAGGGTCTGAACCCGACCCTCCAGAGCTTCCAGAGTCACCAGTCTATCCTCTTCTCCACACCAATACAGCAAATCCCACAATGACCTATCCTCATGTTCCCTTTCCGCCAGGCACATCACTATTTCCGTCATGGGAGGCCGTTCAACAGTACCATGTGGATTTCGCGGAGTCCTTCGACTTAATGCCATATATCAGGCTGAACCACACCGTTGTCTCAGCACAATGGCATGGACATGGCGAATTTGGTGACTGGCACGTCGAAGTCCACTCGCCCTCGCCAGATGCAGACCCGAGCGAGGAGGTCGTGCTCAAACGGACCTTCGATCACCTCGTCGTAGCCGCGGGTCACGACCACTACCCGCATGTACCCACTTGGACGGGCACAAGCGATTGGTTGGCGAATTCGAATTCTGGATCGTCTAGGCGACGAATCGTACACTCCATATACTACCGCCACCCAGAAGAATATGCGAACCAGAGCGTCGTCCTTGTCGGAGCGGGTGCGAGTGCACGAGATATCGCCCTGCAGGTGGGCTCATTAGCCAAGATGGTGAGTCCATCTCTATCAGCGTAACCTTGCATGATGGTTGAACGAATACTTCGACTTGGATAGGTCTACCAATCAGTCAAGGAAAACCAGACTACAACGCCCGGCGCGAATGTCGTCGAGAAACCAGAGATCGCATACTTTACTTCGGATGCGATCTTCTTCACCGATGGCACATCGGTCGAAGAGATCGATACCGTCATACTTGCAACAGGTTATGAGTTCCGCATGCCTTTCCTGACCGCGCCACATGCTTCTACAGTGGTCACCGACCCGAGCACACGACAGAACTCAACTACCGCACAGCGCCCCATCAGCAACCTGCGATACATTTTCCCTCTGTACCGGCACATATTCAGCCTCGGCCCAGCTGTTCCTCCCACTGCGCTCGCATTCGTCGGTCTTCCCGTGATCATTGCCAACTGCCCATCAGACTATGCGCAGGGCATGCTCGTCGCGCACGCGTTCGCAAACGCTTCACTCTTGCCTCCGCGCGAAGAGATGCTCGCAGATCTCGTCGCGCGCGAGGAGGCGCTCCGCGAGCAGGGCCTCGACCCCTATTTCGTCGGACATCGTATGAGCGACAACGGCGCGCAAACGTACCAGGATGACCTCGTTGAATACCTGAAGAAGCATGGGGCATTGCCGGATGACGGGAAAAAGTACGTGGAGTCGTGGCGCCGGATGGGCAGGCGTGAGGGCCCGTTGATCTACCGCGCCTGGCAACGAGTGCGGCGCCTTGGCGAGGAGGACCGGTGGCTGCGAAACGTGCGTACTGAGGAGGAGTGGGCTGACTTGTTGAGGAGGTTGGTGGAGTGGCAGAGAAAGTGGGAGGATGATGGACACGAACCGGAACCGGCAACGATTTTGCTAGATGAGTATGAATTCTGAGATGTTTGTTGACGATCCTCGTCAAGGCAGGCTAGCGTGTGTGACTAGGGGAGTTGGGCATAGCTCGCATAATCAATCATTACTGCATTATGTATTCTGCGCACGGTATGATCTTGTTCTGGTTGCCCCATATTTTCTTAGGTTGACATAGATATCGATTTAGAAGCCAGCCCATCGTCTGGGAGGCAATGATACATATAGAGCAGACTGTCTCGTATGCAATATATCTCGGTCAAATTGGAGAAAGAAGATTTTCGTAGATCCGACCAGACATTGTATCCCGGATCGTTCGGGGGTGCGAGCACGTACTTATCAAGACCACCGACGACAATAGTGAGCCATGATGAGCGTAGTTTGCAAGCTTGATGAACCGCGAACGAAACTCTGGTCTTGCAGCATAATCGGAATGGTCACTACATATCCTGCAGCTTTGATGGAAGGGAAGAGCAAACCCTTGACACTCGCATGCAGCAAGTCGCCACTCGACTTCCATATCTGCAACGGTATCGCGCTGCGTTCTATCAGCACGGAAGAGGCGTGACAGACACTTCGGAGAGTCAGTTGTGGGGTTTCAGCGACAACAAAAATTAGGATCGTGTCCACTCGAGCACGGACGAAGATGACAGTAGTGTTCATATGGCACGTTTTCTCCCGTTGATTCCCGCTATGGTCTCATACTTCCTGTACAAATGCTTGATACGTACTCTAGCCCAAAGAAGACATGAATCTTAAATCCTGCCTTGTCAATAGGCCGTTCTCATGCAGTAAACGTTCGAGGCACCAGGAGTTGAAAGCCGCATGGTGGCGCGGATCAAGTGATTCAAGTCATGAGTGGACACCACGCCCAACGCCGTCGCTTGATCCAGAAACTCAGAAGCAAGGCTTTTGTGTGCACCATCCCCAAGATCATCATGGACGATCGCAAATGAAAGGTCATTGCAGCGCGTATTCATCACGCCTCTACATTCATTGCGCTCCCGCTAGGCAGGGAGACCTCGATTTGCGAGTTTATGCCTTTCGGGAAGAGGGCGGAAGAGGGCGGGAAGAGTGTACAGGATGAAGCGGATGTTCGGCTACTAATGATCAGTGGTGGATTGAGCTGAATTGTTTCGCGAATTATACCGCTTGCACGTGTCGACGTGTTTGCACTTTAGTTACCGATACCAGATAGTAATGATCATTGTGGGCGAGATTGTAATTGTTGCATATAGTGCACTAGCTACAACTGCTCATCAAAGGTCATTCTGTCAGTTACGTTGACTTATTGGTCATCACCAGAAAGCCTTCAAGCTCATGATTCAGCTCGACGCTGACCAACCTCTCTGCCCCCATTCCTCCTACACGTGCGTCACCGTGCAATAAATTTCATTCATCCAGCAAGTACCATTGAACGGGCGGTTTTCTCGAAATTTGAGTCGACGATGTCGTCCACGTGAAGTTCCTCATTAACATGTTCCTCTCCGGTGAAAGTCATCGCTTTCAGCATGGATCAAGGTGCCAACATCGTTTATAATACTTCCCGTTATACTGCGATATCGTTACCATTGATCGCCTATACGTTGATTTCTGCGGTAGCGTGATCTCCGTGATAATCTTCGTGGCGATCAGCAGCAGTAGCATCAGAGCTGCATGCAATATCATGCTCTTGCAAGTCATCTTCCAGGCTCTCGTCTTGCCGACCATCAGCAAAGGCAATTGTTTTTAGGGTGGCCGATAGGGAATCATCCATGTGATGCGAGAATACAACCTTGCGGAGGTCAATGAGGAGGCGCGACATGACGATCGACGTAAGGCTGCCAAGTGTATGTCAGCGAAGCGGAACGCCGCGTCAAATTGCCCCTCACCTTCCCGTTACCATAGAGATCGGATCGACTATCTGATGCATGTGACAGTGAGACGTCATAACAGAGGCGAGGCAGGCGAGAGTCTGCAAGAGTGCTCAGAATGCTTACTTCCGTATATTGTCCAAGGACAATGCCAATGATATTCGCTATTGAAAGAAGGCTGTTGTGTTGCCAGTATCAACATCCACACCTCTGAGCGTCATCTGCGGACGCACGCGAAGTAAAGTCCCGCTTGTACAAATCAGTGTTAGTTTGAATTTAGAGGCGCGGTTTACGTACTGTCTTGGACGAGAACCTTGCTCAAACTATTGTTCGAGAGAGTCTGAACGTAAACCGCCATAGATTTCGTCTTCATCCAGGTGACGATCATCACAATGGCATCAGAGCACAGAGAGGCCACCCTGGCGCCAATTATCCCTAATCAATGAGTGAATAGGTGCGCCATAGAGTGGAAGAAGAATTCATACAGCTACACATGCACGCATTATCAGCAACTCAGCTCAAACGTAGCTATCTATGAAGAAACTTACACTGCATACGTTTTGTCAGGTATTTTGAGTCTAATGCCACATTCGCGAGCGGGATAGACAATCTCCAGCGGAGATGTTCGAATATATGTGTACTGGTAACATTTTAATGAGTAATGTCTGCAGGAAAATCGTGGCGAGAGCTCACAAAGGAAACCACGGGAAATACCATGCCTGAAATGAATGTCAAGGCGCAGGTTAATTTCTGCCGATCGCTGATCGCGTAAACACGCAAAGATGCGAAGACTGGCACCATAAAGATCAGCGCAACAGATACACGCAAAGCCTACGTGCACTTACGTGTCGCGCTTGTCATGAGGAGCACATTCATCGCCATATCTATGCGTACAAGAATTGCGCAACTGCGGATTAATCGTGCATGCTCAATATCACAATTAGGACGCATATAAGTCGGCTTCGAACCTCTTCAGAGCTCTGTGAGTACCACAGATGCATGAAATGAGTATGGTCACCTACCTCGTCATTTTGCCAATTCTGTGTCGGCGATAATGTCAAGACCACAAAGATAACATTGAAAACAGCTGTATACCGGAAGGCGTAGAATAGCGCAGAAACGGACGATAATTTGCTCTTCCAGATATATTGAATCTCGTCAGGAAGCGTGAGGCCATAGTCATAGCAGCAGAGAGCTGAGGCTCATGAGAACCGTGTAGTAGAATATACGATACCACACTGACCTGTGGCGGCAACGTATAAGTCGATTTCTCTGTAACTACTCAGCTCAGCAACCATAAGTCCAGATAAGGGCCACATGTCAGGAAGATAACTAAACTCACTAATCTATCATTGCGGATGCAAGTTCGGCTTCGGCTGACATCTTTGCTGGTGTTCAGATCCAAGTTTGAAGCAATGACGTTCGGACGGAAACTTACTCTCATTATTTATACATCGATGGTGCAATTGGCGCCTTCACCGTGGCGCTGGCATCTACCAATTCATCCGTGGCATGCGCCGAGATGTGTCCGGAGCATCACACCGTTGTTGGGGCTATGTCAATAGGCGCCTTCTGTTCGGTTTTGTGAGACGAGCAATGATAGAACATGTATATCAACTTATTCTGATGGCTGGGTATCGAGATCGCTCGCGGTTCAGTGAAAAATTCGACTTTCTGTAGAATGAGATCATTGTCATAAGCACGAAGCTTTGAAGTTTTAAAGGTCCGGCAAGACCTGCACCATCCTACAGGGAATATAGCATCTACTTTCATCGTGCTATGCCTGAATTGACCATAGCAAGAACACGTTGGTGCCAATCATAGAGTTTTGTGTCTTCATTGAATTCTATTCCCGTAAACGATTTCCGTGCTGTTCCACCCAGCTGCCGGGTACTGCAGGTACTGCACATTGCCACGTTTAGTGAGCTGTCCGTCACAAGGAGGCCATTTCCACTCATCGATACTGAGCGGCTCCAAAATAGCGCTCATCCCTTTCCTAGCTACGGCAGCATGCATGCTGCACGAAACGCTCTTGGCCTCGAAGTGCTTCGATGCGTCACAACTGATGTTAAAGTCCAAGTTCTACAGGCCACTGAGCGCCCAGATCATGATACAGACAGGTTTCTTTCACCTCGTGGTGATCATGGGCGTATCTCTGAGCATCTGTAACATCATATGTGGGCAATACAGTTGTTCAGGTGTGCAGCGCACCTTCGATGAACAGTAATGGAAGCAACTTAAGTCACAGCCTCACACAGCAGCACGTTCAGTCTCATTGCAATTCAATACTCAGGCTTGCAGTTCTGACAGTGTTTCTTTTGGTAGAGTTTGTAAAGACGTTACTGCTCCCGCAGCCTGGGTCCTATGCGAGCAATAGCGTCAGCCCCCACCATGTTCGACGCACCTACGTATCTACTCCTCAGCGTTCGAGCATACACCTTGCACCTCCATCACGTCCCAAGCTCACCAGCCACCACCGTACGGCGGACCCTCCGGCGGTTGGTACTCATCATGATGCTGATGGTGACGACGATGGTGGTGTGGTTCAGGGAACTCAGGACCACCAGGGCCTGGCGGCGGTCCCGGCGGCGGCGAAAACTCACCAAGCCCCATTCCTTCCTCCCTCTCCCGGTATCCTCCATATTGTCTGGCAGAATCGCCGAATGCGCCATCGCCGAATCCCGATGATCGCATAGGATCCGGGAACGACGGCTGAGGCTGTTGCCCGCTGTATCCGCCCACATACGATGGGGAATACCCAGAGCTCGTCGGTGCCGCTCCTGGGAACCCTGGCGGCCCGCTCAGGGGAGCATTGGGCGGCTCTCTCTCGTACCTCGAAGACGTGTATGCCGCTCCAGGATACCCTGCCGACGCCGCCCTGTTGTACAGCTCTGCCTCCCCGGAAGGCATCTGCACTGATGCGCTCTCTGCGTAGTATCCTCCAGTACCCTGTGACAGACGGTGATGGTGTCCGTGGCGTTCTTGACGGTCGCCATCCGAGCTTTCTTCCGGAGCCCGGTACGGGTTTTGGCTCCTACCCTCCGAATAGTACCCTCCTTCAGGGACGTCGGGCATGCCCGAACGACTCACACCTCCGAGGCCCACCATCGCCGCCCCGGCAGCCCCAGCACCCAACCCGAATCCGGGCCTTGAACCTGCTATGCCCGCACTGGTAGCAGCACCGCCAGTCTTGCCGAGCAATGACTGCGCCTGCGCCATACCGGGAACATCATGCAGCAATTCGCTCTGCATCTGCATCCCTGCAGCTTGTGCGAACGAGCCCTGTGAGGCGGCCTCCTGTTCCTCGCTGCCGATCCTGATATTCTTGTGATTTCGGACCGACTCCTTTGAAAGCCTTCGAATGATCTCGGCTTGGTCATTCTCGAGTCCTTGCACCCAAGTCTGCATATATTTCACCATCTGGCGTTGAATGGGCGAGTCGCTATCATGGAAGTCGGGATGGAACCTACAATGTCCCTTGAGTTATGTGTGATGAGACCCGAGGTATGTATCAGACGTACAGACAGTGCAAAACGTCGTCCGTGACTTGGTTAACATTGATCGATGTGTCTTCCCAAGCTTTGACGATCCGCGGCACAGTATATTCCTGTATAGAACATTAGTGATATCTTCCATGACCACGTACGATCCAAGAACAGACCAAAATTATCTTTCCCAAGTTTCCAGCCGGTTCGTTCAAAATGAGATTCTGATGGACTAGTATCAATATGCTGGCCAATGTCGTGCAGAGATTACTCACGAAATGATCCTTGCTCAAGAAAGAGTGGGTCGGGTCGGACTACATCAAAGGCGTTATCAGTGAATGTTCATTGTCATCGCCCACTTCCTGCACCACCCACAGCATTCGGGTTGTTGAAGACCTTGCCGATTTCATCAGTTAAACTCATTTGCACTGGAAGAAACGTTTCGCATACTTCGTACTGATCAGTCTTTTTGATGACCTCGCCCGACGCAGTCATAAGCCCCGTTGTGGCTTGTTGCATGATTGGCTTCAGAAATGGCTGGAATGCATCCGTCACATCCATTCGGCGTGGCATCAATTTCTGCCGTCATCAAAAGCTCGCTCCACCCACCTCGAGCGTAGTGAAAACGAACACTGCGACAAAATGTCAGCCTCAGTCCGCATGGTAAGTGAGGTCTCGTACCTGAGATCGAGTCACTTATGGACTCCAGTAAGGACCCCAAGCCAGGTATCTTGTCTGAAATGCCTGAGCGTCAGCGACTGCATCCGCACGGTTGCCCACGTTGGCTACTTACCGATAATAATCGAGACCTTCTTCATCACTATCCATGCATAAGCACAAGCTCGCGCTTCACTCGTCCCATTTAGCCAGAAATACTCACCGCTGTCCCTGAACGACAATACTTGCCACAGAACGTCATGCAACTGCTGCGGGCTCATGTCCTCAGGGGCGAGAGTATTCTGCGCACGCAGGCGCTGGACGCCATCCATCTGCCGCTCCATCTCTCCACCGCTGCCGTCCGGAAGCTTCTCCAGCAGAGATCGGAGCACGCCCGCTGTTGCATTTGAAGAATCTTCGCCGGAGAATGAGCGAGACGAGAAGGAGGCGGACTTAGCGCGGGCCTTGTCGAGCTCGGCGTTGAGATCGACCACGGATGCCTACGATCTACATTAGTGCGGAAAAAGCAACAAGTATATAGCTTCACGAACTTGGCTCTGAGGATAAAGTACGCAGACAAGATCAGTGTTAGTCGGATAGAGAGAGAACCTTCACAAACTATGTGATCGGTAGCCTCTACAAGGCAGAGTGAGTTATATCGATTTTGATAAGGAAGAGCATCGCACCGCCCAGCAAGCTATGCATGAAGTCACTCGAACCGAACGTCCCTATCAAAGCATGTGATTAGCTCAGAAATATAATCCCACTCACTTCGCAACTCACCAGTCACCAGGGGCGCGACGTATCTCCCATCAGGCGCCTGCAAGCGCACCTGATCGCCCACATGCACAAACACGTCTCGATAGCCGAGCGAGACCAACGCGAGCTCACAGAAGTTTGAATGCGCCGCAAAATCCTCCACCGTATGGAGCTGCACATCGCAATAGTTGTGAATACCATGGAAATTACCGCGGAAACTACTGAAACGGTGTGCTTACAGCCTGCCCAAGCAGCCGGTAGGACTCGTACTCGTCTTCTTTATTGCCGTTGCTGCGGTACCGGCGGCCATACTCGATGCACTTGTGCAATGTTCGGCGAACGAGTGCCTTGCTGGTGTCCCAAGTACCGAATTCTGCATCTCAAAAATGAACGTAAGGATGAGATGAGCTAGACGAAAGATGGGAAAGCAGCGCTCCCACCATTTGCAATGTAGTTCTTCATACCCGTGCGAGGGTCGATGGCCAGTTCTTGCGGCTATGCAGATATGTTGCCACTTTGGAAAGGGGGACCGTTGAAATGTGAACTCACGTCTACTGGCCCACGCAGCCTCCGATCATAATCTCGAGCATTTTCAGGGTATCCTTTAGGGTTATCGATGTGCTCAGTCTATGGCGTCTTGTGATCAATGAAGAATTCGCTGTATATATGCTCCTGATCTCACTGGAAGATACACGCCGAGTCGTTCAGCAGTGACTTCGAATTCCTCGGTGGCATATCCGTGTGCCTGCAAGATAATGGCTATCAGAATGTAGTTGACAGCTCTTGCACGCGAGGTATCTACCATGAAACCCAAGACCATGCAAAGGTTGATGATTGTCTGTAACATCCCGCCGCCGGAATAAGTGAATTGGACTAATGCGATATCTCACACATACCGCAAGCTGCAGCTTCGATAGGCCCGCGACATCGACTGCCTATAATGTATTCAGTGCGATCCAGTGTATATGCATCGAACGGGTGCACACCTGACTGTAATCTCGCAACCAATTTCTGAGGGCGATTGGCCAGTTCAAACGACCCTGATTTACCGAGAGCAATCGGCAACATACCCAAAGTATACCCGCTTGACATCCAGTGCCTTGAACTTCGTACCTCCCCGGCCGATCAGAGCTCCGAGCGCGAAGCCACCGGCGCGTTTCGCTATGTCAGCAAGCGAGTCCTCCTACATTCGCCTTTAGCAGGTCTCCAGGATCGCTCCTGCGAAGCAGCTCACAATATCGCCATGACGGAACGCCTTTCCCTCCAGGTACGCGTAGCTGCACCGTTCCTTGCTCAGACCCTTGCTGACTCTCGCGACAGCCGGCATGCACCCACCTTGGAATGTTTCCCGCCCCAAATGCGTACGCTCCATGTCCTTGAAGACAAAACACCAAAACACACAGAAAAATCAGGAGTATATGCGCGTTGCTAGGCATGGTGGTCGACTTACAAGGTAGGCTTGCTTGGACAACGTGCTATAAGTACTGCACCGCCGCCAAGCTTCTCTTGTGGTCGCTGTCCTTGACGTCAAGCCCGCCAAGTAGTGCCCAGGGTCCGCGCGCTTTATCTGATCCACGTGCTCAGCGCATCCTCCATAACGACCCTCTAGCACCGCCCGCGCTGAACATCATGTCAATTACGCTCGGAAAACCAGCTGTGCTTTTCAAGTACGCCCGAATACACTATCGTACGGCCTGACACAGTGCTGCAAAAGATTGGTCGCTGAGGCCTGAGGTGTAAGTGGCGTTGACTATAGGTAAGCGACCCCGCTGATGCGACGAACGCCGATCAACTGAACATGACTTTACACATCATTTGGGGAGTTAGTTCGTCTCACAGTTATCGTAGATTTGACGTTATGGAAAGCTATGCCCGCCATGGGTGATGACTTCAACTCAATACACACGATCCTCGTTCGCAAAGGCATGATACGAGCTCCCGTATCGAGCAACTTAGCATGGTCCTTTCCTAGCCTCACATGCATGGCTTGCCAGGGAGGTCGACCGCTCAGTGTCGCATAAGGAGGTTCGTCTCTCAATTCATCCATCATGATTGCTTATCAAGAAGTAGTAACACCTCATACAATTATCACTGTCACCTTATCAGCCGCTTCATCCCAAATGTCTCACTGGACAAGATGAATGGCGACGCAAGAGACGGATATCTTTCAAACTAGCTCTGCTCTAGTGTTTGGTGCATCTACAGTGTGGGATTATGGATTCTTCACGTTTGAAGAACGGTGCTCGCTCTCCAGAACGATACGACGGTCTCGCAAGTATAGCGCAGTTCGCAGGTCGAGCTATCTTTTTGTTGCTGTTCCTCTCAATGATGGGATGCAGCTAGAGCCGTAGATCTCAACGCTTTCAGAAATCTTTCAAATGTGTGTCAAACCTCAAATGAAAAGCCCGACAAAAACGGAATTGAGTCCGAAAGATAAAGAAAAGGTATGGAAGTTAGCCAAAATCTGAGACTGCAGTTGCATGGGGGTAGGAGACAAGTCAATATAAGTTCGGGAATGGCTCAGTTAAGGAGCTTTGGTCGCCGTAGCCACCCAGTCAGTGCCACTGTAGCTGGCACTGTCAGCAACTCCTGCGGCTGATATCAGTTGTTCCAGATTTGGAGGATCTATATGGTGGCATAATTGCCGCAAATGTTTCGCTGTTTAGTGCCGGTATCATGATTCAGAGGCCTGATCGACAGCGTGCATTTTTCGGCCGTGACCCTTCAGCGAAGCTTCAGCGCTCAGCCACAGACGCGTCCCGAGTGCATCTTTACCTGTGAGGCCTGTTCGCCCAAAGTGGCATTCGCAGTACCGTTAACAGCTTTGCCAAATAAAATGCAGCAGTGTACATGAGAGTACCTCAAATCTTAAGCTTGAGTACTTGAGTTTCCGGCTCAGTATCACACTTGTAGGCTCTTAGCCCGGGCCTTCAGCCACAAGCGCGTCACTTCAGTCACCTAAGCGCGGTCTTCCTTTCCCTATCGATGACAGTACGCATGACACGAGTCTATAGCATCTACAGTCTCATGATGAACTAGAATCTATTGTTGCAACAACGATACAAGTTTAGAACCATTCAGCAGAATCTACGGAATTGACATTGTAGCCGTGAGTGAACATCCGATCCGTGCAACAGTCCGTGACAGATACCTTCTATTGCTACAATTGTGATAAGTAGACGATGATGAGCGACAAATAGCATACATGTGGGCTAAATAGCGGTGAGCGTACGTACAACCATAAACTCCATCAGGTTCCGAGCCAAACGATACTACAAACTAGGTAAGGCAACTAATATGCCCGCGCCTTACCCTTGTCCTTCGCTGACAATCGCCCGGACCTCCTTGTGCCAACATTAATGGCCCCATCAGCAGCCTCATCGGTAGACGATTGGTCTTGGGCGGCGCGCGAGCGACTCGGACGAGAGCCAGACGCGACCGGAGCATTCGCGCTGCCACGACTGGGAGCCGGTACAAGGGGAGGTGACATGGATATATCAGTCTTGCGAGTCCGCGATGAAGGCTTCGATGCGGGACGAGGGCGGCTGGTGCTAGATCCCGACGCGGCTGGCGCAACGTGCAACTGGCTCGCCGGAGCAGCGGTGCGCAACGTCCGGACGCGTTTCGCTGGCGGTTTGAAAGGACCGTCAGAGTTGTCGTCGTCTGAAGCTCCGCGCTTGGTGCCGCGAGAAGCCGATGCGCGATTCAACTGTAGAGCGGGGATTTTCCTTTGACGTTTAGCCGGACGTTCGTCGATGTCATTAGAGCCGTTCTCGTCGATGCTCGCGTTGGCATTGCGCTTCCGCTGACGAGTGCGCGTAGCAATGGCGTCCGGATCATCGGCCTGCAGAATCTTCCCGTGGGTGTGACCTGGTAGTTGGTCGCCCGCTCCGTCCTTGGCGGGCCATTTCTGCTTGGAGATAGCCCTCGCAAGCAGATTCAACATGGGGTCGTGCGACTCTAGGTTGACCGCCCGTTTCCGTTCCACGACGGATGTTGCATCATCGAGCTGTTCCTGCTCCACATGATCATCGGCGAAGAGGTCTCTCTGACCTACCTTTCGCCCAAACAACGTCTGCAGCTGTGATGTCTCGTCATCCTCCTCGCTCTCTTCCACATCGCTATCACGTGCAGAGGTCTGCGAAGCAACCAGCTCGTCGTGGGCAGCACGTATCAGATACTCCGGTGGAGCTAATGTGCCGTCGGCTTCCGCGACAACGTACCGTGCCTTAAACCAGTTCAACAGCGTGGAGAAGATAGCATTTAGCGGTTGTTTGTCTGCAGTACCACCACTGGCAACTCCTGCAGAGAGAAAGTGAATCTCTTTGGCCAACCATATCAGCTCGCCGGCGGCCACGGTATGATACTTGAGAATCGGGCACCAGTAGTCGTCGTTGGAGAACACTGCGAGATCGAAGAGGTTGGACATGTATCGAACCAGATCTCTGCAGGTGTTGTGGATATATCGCAGCGAGCAATATAGGAGAACGTAGAAGAAGGCTTCCAGCTCATCTGCAATCTCGACGGACTTGGCTGGCTGCAAGAGGACTATGGCAGATTGGAACTGCCATGTACCCTAGACACGGAAGACATGAGTTGTTTTCATGATCAGTAGCATTGGGTCAACGACTCACGGTACGATTGATCTGTCTTCGTTGTTCTAATGTTGGGTCATCCTCAATTCGCTTTGAGAACTCCCAGTCGCAGAGAATACCCCGTCTAAGGAACTTCCCCTCGGTGGCTGTCTTGTAAAAGATGACGACGATATTGTTTGGACTGACATCCCGGTGAATACGGCTGGCTTTCGACACCGCCTGCGAATGTGCTAGGACGAGTCGTTAACTCTACGTTGAGGGCCGATAATGCACCTTCATTACCTTCGAGGGCATCAGTGACGGTGGTGGTCAGCTGAAAACCGTTGTCAAACTCTTCAAGACGCATGCCGACTTCTTCCTCGACAAGCCGGTAGTGCGTATACGATCTCAGCAGTGGCTCTGCGCCAACCGGAGTAGTATCGGGATCCTCGTCTTCAGCGGATATTTGTTTTTGAGACGAGGAACTTGCGACGTTGCTCAAATTCTGACCACCGGTGCCTCCGTCTTCACTCGTCAATGAGCTAGACTGTGCCTGTGGCTATGATAGGAATTGGTAACAAGCACTCCGCAGACCGAAAAAACGTACCTGTTCAATCGCCGGAGACTCGACCAATCCCTTCGCAGGGGTCGAATGCTGCGAGACGTCATCTTTGGACGTGAACGGATGAGCTGCTTCCTGCCCGGTAATAGGCGACTGAGCCGCTTCCTCCACTGTCGAATCCCCGTCATTTGCGGCTTCATCGGCATGTGGCGAACCCGATCGTGCTTGTTGCTACAACAAAATTGTCACTATCGGCATATTAGAACACTAGGAACCACGCACCTGTGCCCGAGTAGCGCCTGACGTACTCGCTCCGTTCTCCTCACCATCGCCATCGCTGGACTGTCCAACAACGCGTTCTTGCTCGTCGCTTCGCGCGGACCCGTCGATGACACTCTACAGGGTGCATCAGCGAATGCAAAGCCACCGCGCTGGCAGACGTACCGTTCCTGAACCCGTCGAACTCGCTTCATTTGCTTGCTTCCGACCCTTGCTCTTTTTCGCCTCACTGTGGGGCTGCTTCGAGCTGCGTTTGGCCTTGTTTCCTGCGGCTGCCCGCCCCAACCGTCTCTTTGTCTCGACTGTCTTCGCCTTCCGCTCCTTGCGTGCCTCCTGGTGCGCTTTCCTGAGGTACTCGTGTGCGAGTGTGGACTGTGCAATGCGTTCACCATTGATCTCATGCAAGACATCTTCGTGGCAGACCACAGTCGGGATATTCTCCACACCCGCCTCCTCCAGCTCTAGGATGATCTTGCCCTCCTTCTCCATACCGTCCAGGTCGATGCGCCACGTATCCTTCAGCCAGAAGAACTTTTCCTTCTTAGCCTCGTAGGCGACGAAGCCCTTCGTGCCGCGGCCAAACACCCCCCACGATCTGAAATGAGGGTTGCCGATGAGGAAAGGCTGCTCATATCCTTCCACCCTCACCCGCCACCGCCGAGCGCCACCCACCAACGACGCTTTGAAGTAACCCTTCACATAGTCCAACGTGTCCTTGCATGTTTCGACCGCGTTGTCCATCGCCTTGTAATCGGCGGAGCCCGGCTCGACTGGCTCAACGGTGGTGTCGTAGCCTTGCTGTGCAGGACTCATGCACACGAATGAGGAGAGGAAATCGGCAAGCAGCTCATCTTCCTTGATGTAGTTGAAGCCCTCCGTCACGATCACACCCGACCGGTCCCAGCGCATGATGTAGGCGGTCGGACCGCAAATGAGAACGGAATAAAGATGGGTCCGGTGTTGGGTCTCGAAGATTCTCGCCGCGTACGTGATGAGCTGCGCCCATGTGTCCTCACGTTTCGTGCTCTTGGGCGCCAGCGTGTTGCCTTTGAATGGATCAGCGACATCGTCTCTCTTGAACTCGACCCACAGCGCTTGTTCATCCCAGTGTGGCGCGCCGTCTTTCGGGGCCTTCCCCTTGAACATCGCCACGTCGACTCTCTGCTTCGTCGGGTCGTCCTTGTCGCCCTTGTTCGCCGACAATGTAAACTTGTATTCCGGACAGAGCTTGTTCTTTGCTACCACGTTAATCTGCACAAACGCGTCAGCAGTCATCAATAAGAGATGAGTGAGCAACTGACGAATGCTCGATACATCTGCCTCTCTGTCCAGCTCCGTTTGACTGTCGTGCCACCGGCTTCCTGGGGAAGCTAAGCGCGAATTAGACACGACAATGGATGAACGTGTGGTGTTACGTACCCCAGGAGTATATACGTTCTTGAACATGTCGCGGAGGATTGGCTTCTTGTCAGAGCTGTTTGGCTGGTTCTTCGAGCGCGACTTAATGTCGAAGACTTTGCGAAACTCCTTCGCGTCCATGAAACAGAGCTTGCCCTCAGCGTCCATCTTGTACTCTAACCGTATCTGCTGGATAGGCTGGTCCTGGTTCGCGGCAAATGGATAAGATCCAGTGACCTTTTTGGCTATCGGTGAAGTTGATGAGATGAGGTGCGCCATGAGAGACGCAGTGGAAAGGGGAACAAGGAGTGCTGCTTACCTCAACGCGGTTGGCTCGTCTTAAAACGTGCAGTGGAGGTTTGAACAAGAGACCACAGCGCACGATCCGCCTCCGACAAATTCCGACTCAGACGCTTACTTCAGCAGCAATCTTATTGTATCGGATAGCGATCAAAGCTCAGTGGCACGCTGCCACGGCAGAAAGAACAGGAAGCAGGAGGTGAAGTTGTTTGGGAGGATTTGCGATTGTGGGCGCGCAGGCTCGCGGAGTGAAAGACCACGGCAACGCCACACGAGGCTCGCGTCCAAGCGGTGGCACAAACGCGGTCACGTGCCGACCTTTTGTGTGCCCCATCCAATCAATAATGGTTTTGCAGGGTTTTCCCGTCAGCGAGATACTTCCTCTTAACACTCATACACTTCCACATCTCGAACGCAAGGATGTGAGACTATCTAGGCCGCTGCGGGAGATTGCGCCAACTCCTCGGACAGCCGTTAGCCCGCCGTCTCTGGGGTCAATGCGTCCCTCGTCTTGTACCCTCAAATTTCAACAGACTCTCAGCACGAGATAAACGCGCTTTCAGCGTGCGTCGCGCTGCCTAGTTTGGTTAGAGTGGCATTGACAACACACCCAGGAGTCCAGCTAGCCATTCTGAGACGTTCCGCGCAGATCAAAATCTGAGACATATGCCTCGAAGATCACATCAATGGCCATGGTCAAAGTCACACCGAAGCGAGGCTTCGAGCCGACAACCGAAGAACGCTCCCCTTCGGGCAAGTGGAGAAAGATTGTACGATGCACAACGTGGACTCCATGCCATGGAAAGGTGTCAAGATAATGCACCCAAAAAATAATTCATCCGCAGGGGACTCTCGCAACGACAATACTTGCGGCGGGCCGCAGCACTCTGTGTTCTTGAAACCAGACGACGACTCACCACAGCAATCTACGGGTACATTACGATACTGTGTCTCGAAGACGGTGAAGGCGTGAATTTCATATGCATGACCTGCATAATGATGACCATATCTACTTTGTATTGGCACCTTCGAGCTGATAGTTGTGGGAGTCATAGGCTCTGAGGGTAGATTTGGTGCAGCTATATGTCCGCACAAGGTATAACTGTGGAGGAGCTGACTGCATAGAACCAAGACCATTCATCATATCAGAATCATTGGGTGTATGGTATACATGAAAACGAGTGTACGGACGAGGAGCGTCAGCCACCGACGCGTCATGCAAGATCCGATCGACGCGTTTCGGAGATGAAATAGCTTACGTAACCCTCAGTGCGTCCTATGTACGGTCGGATTCTAGCGAGAGGTATCGACGAAGATCAACGAGCAGTCATGTCTGCACCTGGTTCATCGCGCCCTCCTGCAGTCTCGTCGGCTGCCAGTCGTCGTCCGCGGCCCATCCGTACTATCTCTGGTTCTTCTCAGCGAAATATAGCACCTCGTCGCCCGTCTGTATCTCTCACGGGCGCCATCAACCCTGTCACCGGAGCGACCAAGGCCCAACGGACATCCAAGACAACCCACAAGCTCGTTCTTCTTCCGTCTGCCCCGCAAACGAAGCCCTTGCCTCCAGAGGCTGAAGAGGAAGAGTCATTACTCGGATATGAGACGGATAGAGGAGTGCGCGAGAAGAAGAGTGCGGGAGAGCGGATGAGCAAGGAACAGAGAGAGCAAGCGGGCTTTCCGCGTCTCACTGCCTATTGCGTCGCGGACGCTTTCAAGATGAAGCTGCTCGCAAGCTTTCTAAAGCGGGAGCACAACGTTCAGCCTCGCGTGTTTGACGAGGCAATCTATGTGGTGAGTGACTTGTCCCATGGCACGTATTATACATCTCTCAATTCTTCGTAGATGTACCATCTCCCGCTACTACCGGGGTATGGTCCGCAAGCCAACATTCGTTCCTCTGCTCCGCCATCTTCAGACGCAGAGGATCCGTCCTCTGGATTCTCCGAAGCAGAAGAAGATGGCTACCAGGGCACGTACTTCAACAATCCAGAGTCGAGCACGACGCCTCCGTCAGCCAGCTACATCATTTCCTCATCGCCCATTCTCACCAATGCAGATATATCAATGCCAGATGCACCCCTCGCAAGTCCATCTGTGCATCCGGAAATACACTCTCCACAAGAAGACCGGGCTGAACGCAAGAGCAGGAAGAAGCGCTCGAAAGGCATCGCGAACGATGTGGACGCACGTGAAGGGGAATATGCTGAGGCCATCTTCTTTGCATATGGCGTCGCGGTGTTTTACGGTTTCTCGGAGGAGCAAGAACGCGGCATCCTGGAGGATGTGGAACATGCAGGCATAATGAGACGAAAGTTCGTCGAGGATGACTGGGAGATCGAGGAATGCCATTACACTGTCCGTCATTCCTCTTTGACTCGCGCGTTTTTCACCAACCGACTATCTTATTCTGCGCAGCATGACCCAAATATCGCGTATCCGCGGATCTTCAACGACTTCTTCAGTGTGTCTTACGCTGTCTTCTTTCTGTATCACTGATTTGCGATCCGGCGACAGCATTCAAGACTCGCTCTCACCTCCTCAAGCTGTCCGTCGCACACGCCCTCGCTCAATCAACGCTCCTCGCTCACTATGAAACGCATGCGAACAGGATCCTTTCGTCCAAGGACACAATGTCGATCCCACAGCAGCTCGCATCGACCGGTGCGCTTGCGCTCTCACGCAAGGAAGCACTGCGCCTCACCGGGCGGTTATTCACGCTCCGACGCGACGTGAACCTCGTGAGCAACGTGCTCGATGTGCCAGAGCTGTTCTGGAGCGAGGCGAGCCTGAAGGCGCTGTACGATGCGGTGAGGGAGTATATGGAGATTGGAGGACGGGTGCAGGTACTGAACGAGAAGCTCGCCGTGGCAGAGGATCTGGTGAGTAGACTTTCCACTCTAACTAGCGAAGACTGTTGATCACTGCTTGCATTGTCGAGCTCGGTGCGATTCACGACCATCTCAACAATAATGCGATGGAGCGCATCACATGGATTATCATTTGGTACGCAGTTGTGCCCAATTTCAAGATAGGTTAGGCTCAATTGTTTCGATAGGCTGATTGTGATCGCCTGCGTCGTGGAAGTGGTGCGTAACTATGATCCGCCTGCATTGAGGGCTTTCATCCCGTTGATTCCAAATCTCATCCTCTTCTACCCCATCTAGGGTGAGGTGATCGCGCGACTCGTAGTGCATGCGACGATGAGCGACTCCGACTCTGCTACGAACGTGTGCACCAACGCCGCTGCTGCGTTGAATTCGCTTTCCAGAGAGGAGGCGCTAGAGATTCTGGAACGACTGGCTCAGTCAGGAAATTCACTTTGAGGGATGAGGATCACTCCGCGTGTATCACAGATTATTTTTGACAGAGCAATGTAGTATACGTGTAGACCATTGTGGTAGGTTGTCGTTTGATTTCGGTCGTCTCCACGATGCTAAGCGACGGTGTGGCAGCGCAGCGAGGCTAGGTGAAATACTCCATGGATGTATGGTGATACCTTTCCATGACATGTCTGGGTTGTACGTCACCCAAGTTTTCTCCTCTCTTACAATGAATGTATCTGAACACGTTGAACGGCTATCCCCGCCGGATCTTTTCGCATCACTTGAGCTGTCCATCGGATGGCAGCGTGCGTCGTCGTGCACGCAAGTTGCGCCGCAGCATGAATCTCTTGCCCGAAGGAAAGCGTTCTTCGGTTGTCGGCTCGAAGCCTCGCTTCGGTGTGGCTTTGACCATGACCATTGATGTGATCCTCGAGGCATATGTCTCAGATTTTGATCTGCGCGGAACGTCTCAGAATGGCTAGCTGGACTCCTGGGTGTGTTGTCCGTGCCACCCTAACCGGACTAGGCAGCGCGACGCACGCTGAAAGCGCGTTTATCTCGTGCTGAGAGTCTGTTGAAATTTGAGGGTACAAGACGAGGGACGCATTGACCCCAGAGACGGCGGGCTAACGGCTGTCCGAGGAGTTGGCGCAATCTCCCGCAGCGGCCTAGATAGTCTCACATCCTTGCGTTCGAGATGTGGAAGTGTATGAGTGTTAAGAGGAAGTATCTCGCTGACGGGAAAACCCTGCAAAACAATTATTGATTGGATGGGGCACACAAAAGGTCGGCACGTGACCGCGTTTGTGCCACCGCTTGGACGCGAGCCTCGTGTGGCGTTGCCGTGGTCTTT